GAGTGGTTTTGTTTTGTTTAGCAATCATCATTCTTGTTCATTGCATTTTGATAAAACATGCAGTGCTCCCTTTGTGGCAATGTTCTAATCTCAGCTGATTTTTCCTTTTCCTTTAGAGAATGGCTGTTATGTGAGGGCTTTTCTTTTATTTTTCTTCTTATTATTTATTCATTTATTTTTGTCAGTCTGGGATTGGTAAATAAAAACGTAGGAGTCTGAAATGCTTCCGTTTCATCATGTAACGCCTTAAGTTCATTAAACAAGTGAAAATGCTGCCATGTTTGCGCAGATTCTTCTGGTGGTGGTGGGGGGGGGATGTCTGTAAAAAAGTTGTTTTGATAGATACTCCCAAAGAGAAGAAGAGGCTCAGGGCCTGGATCCCAAGGGGTAAGGGAAAATATACTTACAGTGACAGTGAGGGGGTTCAGGAGCGCTGGCATAGTAACCAGCCTCTCCCTCCCTCTCTCCCTCCCTCTCTCTGTCCCTAAGATGCAAGATCAATTACTGAGGCTGCTCCAGGGAAAAGGCAGACGAGACGAGGAAAGAAAAGGAAAAAAGGAAAAGAAAGGTGGGAAGGAAGGAGAGAAGGGAGGAGGGAGGAAAAGAAAGGGAGGCGTGTGAGAGAGAAACAGAGACGGAGGGAGCTGGAGAGCGCGCGAGTGCGCAGACGGTCCGGTCAGACGTGAGTTCTCCTGAGCCTGCTCCGTGGGCTCGGCTCGGTGTGGCAGCTGCAAGCAGGTCCCGGATCCTCCTTGCCTGGTTCAGACGTTTCCCCCTAGGGGTATCGATTTCCCTCGGACAACTCACATCATCTGCGGTCTCTGCATCGTGTCCTGGTGTGGTGAGGAGTACCAGTGCGAATAGCCAGGCATGTAGCTGTTGGGGGGCATACTGACGCCCTTGGCCGAGGCCGAAACGTCCCACACCGGGGGCAGCGCCGGCGAGCGCGGCGACAGGGCTGCTGAGCCCGGGAGAGGGTCGCTCTCGTGCGGGTTACTGCCCTGCTTCAGCAGTTTCTTAAACTTAGAGCGTTTGTTCTGAAACCAGATCTTCACCTAGAACGAAACGCAGTGGTGATCATTAGGCTCCAAAACATCCCCTGGTGCCTCACGTTGAGGCTTTGGAAGCAATTATTTTAAAATAATAATAATAATATAATAAAACAATTCCACAAACACCAAGCCCCCCAGTCCCCGTTTTGCTCCACCTCTTTCTTCACCCCCCACCCTACCCACCCATTACTAGGTATCTTGTCTGGATACCTAAACTCTTCAGTTGGATGCAAATCTAAAGCATAAAACAACAGCATAAATAAGAATAAAATAAGAAATGAAGGTGCATGATATAGCTGGGGTCAAAGTCGAAAGAGGGATTTTTAAACAGAGAACTTTTCGGGTCAAAGCCAACTGAATGCACTTTTTCTGATAGTCTCTTTCTTAAAAATATATTTACCAATCCTCAAACCTGGCATCTCTATGCATGTAGTGAGCAGAGGACTATGAACAGATTAAAGCCTATACATTTATACCCACATGACTCAAATATCCCTATGCACATACTGCACATGCCACAAACTGTGCATGGGGCATCTTTCTCCCTACGTAAATATATCCCCATAATCCTGCAGAGATTAGGGATTGTACCTCCCTCATTCATCCCTACTTTGTATGTTGCTTAGTCAAACTGTGGTCAGCAATCATCACATGATTGTTAGCGTAGCCACTTAAAGTCAAAGGGCCTCTGAAAATTAAATGGAAATCAGGAATCTGGGTTGGGAGAATATCTAAGCTAACATACCAGGTCTCCTTTTATTTGAAGGAGGAAATTCTAGGGTGCTGCTTCCTTTACCTTCAAAATTCCTGAGCCATAGGAATCTGCTTTTCCAAGAGGAATACAAGTTACTGAGTAGCAGGAATCCCTTCATTGCAAGCCCCACGTATTTCCAGAGGCAAAATGGCAAAAGAAAGCAGGCTGAATTGAACAGAAGAGCTTAGGGGCATCTGTTCTAAGGCACCACGCAATCATTCCCCAGCAAGAGTCTCAGAAAACCTGGAGTCCCCATGCCTGAGATCACCCACCTCACATGAGGCCTACTGCCCCACGCCGCTACGTTGATGGACAAGGACAGAAACCACAGGTGATTGCAGCCTGGCTTTATGACCAGGGTCGTAATATACCTGCCTAAGCCCCTTCCTGTGAAGTCTGAAAGGGCCCATATGTCTTTCAAATTAGTAGGACAGCAGAACTTCAGCAACTGTACTTAACTGAGGCTTCACCTGCTGTAATTTGGGCAGCACTTCCCTTTGATCTCCACCTCTGCCACTGCTCCCAAGTTCTGTGCTCTATGGAGGTGCCTCACCAGCCAGTCACCAGGATGATTTAACCATTGAGCTTAGGGCAATCTTCAGGAAAACTCACCTCACCCATTCCAGGATGAGTAGCTGGCACCTTGGTCCCACAACAAAATCCTATTGGAGCCTATGACTATCTCCCCCTCTTGATTTCACTTCATAATTCTATGTCAACAAGCTGAAATTCTTAAGTCCAAGGACCCACAAAAGGATCATCTATCTATCTATCTATCTATCTATCTATCTATCTATCTATCTCTCTCTTATTCTGCCTCCTGGCCTGAATATCTTTTTCTCTCTCTTTCATGTTCTGTTTTGAAATAGGACTCGAATAAAGGATGAACTTGGTCACCAAAGGACACTAGACTGGGGTGGGGTCGCTGAGGATTGGGGAGATGTGCAAATCCAATCCAGTATTCATTTATTCCACACTGTGCTGTCCCAGGGAAAGTTCGTAACCGGCGCAAAGGCATTGGTCATTAATCTTCCATCCTTGGTGGACTAGGCCAAGAATTCTTCCTGATGTGCTCCCTGCCCGATCTGCAAGCGGGGCCAGCATTTCGGGGATATTCGGGCTTCCCGGGAATTACCTGTGTTTGTGTCAGTCCTAAGGAAGCTGCCAGTTCAGCTCTCTCGGGAAGGGCCAGGTACTGAGTCTGCTGAAAGCGATGGTTTAAAGCCTGGAGCTGCAGGCTGGAGTAAATGGTCCGAGGCTTCCGAATCTTTTTCCCTTTTCCATTGAACCTGATTTCCCCGTTTTCAATCACTGTGGTTTTTTGTTGATCTGCAAGCAAAGGATACAGAGGAGCGGTCACGCGCGAGGCTACTTTCGCAATTTCCCTGAACATGGCCTGGCTTTACCCAGGTTCTCCCCAAAGATCAATAAGGGTTTCCTCAAAGCGCCCCCACGCCGCCGCCACCCTGCCCTGTCGGGGTTCACGGGGCTCAGGTGCTCCCAGAGGCTGTAAGAGCTTTCCCGGCCCCTTACTCTGGCGCTAACAATACCCGGTGGCTGGACCGAGCGGCTCCCGCGGCCCTCGGGCGAACAGGCTCCCTCCGCCGCAGAAGAGGCGGCGCCGGCCGCTCTCGGGGCGCCTGGCGCCGTGCGCCGGCCGGTCTGTCCGCAGAGCCAGGCCCCAGGTCCGGCTTCACAGTGCCGCACGCTGTGCTGGAGCCACCCTGACGATTACGCGGCCAGCTGACGAGCTGTCACTACTTCCAAGCCCGGCACATCCAAATCCCCTGGCGAATTTGAAATGATTCTGCTGCAAAGAACCAAAACCCCAAACAAAACTACCTGACGCTCAGACCAGCTCCCGAGCAAGCGGAGCCTCACGCGGCAACTCTACCGCCCTTGGGTGCTGAGAACCATCCGCCCGAGGCCCTCTGTTTTGCCTCCACGAACAAAGGAGCCGCCAACCAGGTATCCAAAACCCAGAGGGAGGGGGCCCGGTCAGGAGTGGGGGTGGGGGGACACCTCAAAGCCCGCCGGTAGAGCCGAACTGTCACCAGTTTAACCAGAGCCAGCGGCCATGCCATCGTCCCTCCGGGTCACCCAAGTGCACGGGGCCACTGGCTGCCCAGATCGGATTGGGGAGCAAAACACGCTCCCCAGTTCCGGCGCAGAAGTGTCCCAGTCCTGCCAAACACAGGGCACAGCCCGGAGGAGCGGAGGGAGGCAAAGGGCGCCCCGACCCGCGGGCTGGAGTGCACCGTGAGGGCCAACTGG